ATCTCTTCACGAGAACCTCACCAGATTCGCTCTGATACCAAATGTAGGTTTTTTCACAAACCTCACTCAATTGGAAACAGCAATAAATCAAAGAAAAGAACAACAGGGGAGAGGTTAAAGCTTCATGCTTCTTTGAACTTATGTTTTAGATAAAAACTCAACGTACACTTTTCCTGAACATTTTAAGAGAAACTAAGCTAGAAAGCAGGAAACGACCTGCACTACTACTAAAGACTCGGACTCTCAATTCCAACATGGCTTGATTTATTCATAACTTGAAATGCTAAAATAAAACGTGCATAAATGATAATAATTTCTGAATTATTCTCAATAGTGGTTAACAGCTTTTACGAGCTCGAACCAGAGTTCGTTGATTACTGGAACCAAAATTACGCACCTAAACCGTGGTGTGTGGGACCTCTCTGTGTAGCCAAGCCACCCGGACCGGAAAGGTTCGTGGAAAAGCCAACTTGGGTCCAGTGGCTCGACGCGAAACTCACAGCAAACGAACCGATGTTATACGTGTCGTTTGGCTCACAGGCAGAGGCCACGCCGGAGCAGTTACGTGAGGTGGTTGTTGGGTTAGAACGGTCGAACGTAAGCTTCATGTGGGTGATAAAATCTAAGCAGTTGATGTTGATCGAAGATGGGTTCGAGGAGAGGGTGAAGGGGAGGGGGAAGGTGGTGACGGAATGGGTGGACCAGGTGGAGATTTTGAATCATGAAATCGTTCATGGTTTTCTGAGTCATTGTGGGTGGAACTCGATGTTGGAGAGCATGTGTGCAGGTGTGGCGGTGTTGGCAATGCCGATGATAGCGGAGCAGCACCTGAATGCGAGGATGGTGGTGGAGGAGATTGGGATTGGGCTACGAGCGTGGCCAAGGGGGATGGTGGCGCGTGGGATTGTGGGGGCGGAGGAGGTGGAGAGGAAGGTGGTGGAATTGATGGAAGGGGAGGGTGGTAGAAGGGTGAGGAAGAGGGTGAAGGAGGTGAAGGAAAGTGCGTATGATGCAATGAAAGAAGGAGGATCATCATGGCGAACGTTAGACTCGTTGATCAATCACGTTTGTGGACATATGCATTCGACGATTTAGAAGTGTTTGGACTTTCGTTTTCACAACGATTATTGTAATATAAATAGTATATGGAGCTATATAATTTCATATTTCATATATATGCTTCGTATGCTATATTTATGTATTGCGTAATTAGTGCTAGTAATCACTAAATATTTTCACCTGCCTAAAGCTAATTAGTTATAGTTCTTTAAGAACTAGAAAAATAATCATAAAGTCTTGCATCATAAAGTCCAACAAAGTGAAACTCATTTTAGGATATTTTTTCAAAATTTCTCTAATGTCTTTTGCATGGTTTAATATAAGTTGATGGCACATGTCACACTTACGACACGTGTCGTTTTATTTAAGTTGCTGAGTTTGATAATGTCACTAGACGAATCTCCGCGCGTTGTGCGAGAATAGAATTATATAGTTAAAATAATAACTTTTACCAAATTATTATTTAATATTTCTACTTTGAAACAAAATGTTAGTAGTAAAGCAAACGTATAATTAACATATTAGTTTTATTAAACATTATAGTTTAATTTTTAAATCATTGTGATATATACAATTATTTGATAATTTTATAAACCGTTTAAAATTGTGTAAA